TGCAAACAGTGCTGCAGGATCCTCTGGATGTTACTTAGCAGTTTTGAAGGTTTTTTTTTGGGTCAAATATTGGTCAGTAATTCGTTAAATCAGCCATGGCATCAGTCGTGCAACACAGTGTATAGAGAAAGAGCAAAAATGTTTGTTTGAGAAAACAGTGACAAACTAAACAATCAAATTAGCTAATGTTACGTTTAATTTTTTGTTTTCAAAACCAAATGTCATTTTTGAGAATATGTTTTAAAATGGGCCCATATGTAGCCCAGCCTGGATGAACCATTTCTTGATGCTCCATGCTCAATGACTGAGATCTAATAGTACTGATAACTATGAAACCAAATATTTATGAATGACCAGACTATCCATTCAGCACAATTAAATGAAATACATTTATACCAGTTACTGCAAATATCATTTTATAAACCTGTACTTCGGATTGCCATAAAATAAGTGATTTCTTACCCTTATTTTCATGCCAACCCTCCCTCAACATGAAACTTCTGAGAGTATTATTTCTRCAATGGTTAACGTTGAAGAGCCGTCCCATGCTGGATGTTTTCCAGGTGTTGCCTGACTACCTGAAGGCCTTGCTGAGCGTGGTTCCTCAGGGAAAGCCCAGTGAACAGCACATGCAGCAGATTGCAAGGCTGGCAGCTTTGCAGCACCGTGCCAAGGACTCCATCTACCTGCCCACTCTGTAAATATATATGGTTTAGAACTGCAGCATGCCTCAAAAACACAAGTCCTTTTATTTATTACATTAGAAAATGAACTATGCACCACAAGTCTTTACCCTTTATATTTTCAGATACTCTTGCATCTTRGCGTTTTACTGTTTACATAAAACACCAGCCTTGGTGTGTTCAGTGATACCAAGCTTGTTCTTGTGTGTGTTTAGTCGTGAGGTGCAGGAGTGTGTCCCCCCGCCRTTCTACAGCAAACAGGGCTCCCAGCTGTGGCTGAATATGATAACGCAGCACATGCAGCGCGTCCAGCCTTTGAACCCACACCAGGCCCGTGCACAGTTCCTGGGTAAGAAACCATTTGAGCGAAAGCTAGGTTAGCTGACTGACAGAACAAAATCAACTAAACTGATGAAATAGAGTAGTGAAGAAAAATCTGCCATTTTAAAGGATTATTTTATCAGGGTTAGATTGACATAATGATGGAACTTTTTGTGTATTTTAACACAGGTCTGGTCAGTGCCTTCGCCATGTTCGGCTCCTCTTTTTTTTACATCCAGAGTTTGAGTTCTGCCTCCATCAGTGCCCCGTGCATCCTGGCTGTTAATCTGAACGGACTGCATTTTCTTAACAAGGATACTCACGTATGTCTCTCTCTTTCTCGCTCCCTCTCTCTCACACACACAAACATGTTGTTTTTTTCTATCCTTGTGGGGACTTTGCATTGACTTCCATTCATTTTTTTGGTCATTTATATGGCCTAACTCTGACCCTTTACCCTAACCCCAGTACATACCTGACCCTAAATCTAGCCTAAACACAATTGGTCCTAAAACCTAACCTCTCACCCAAAATCAGCATTCGTACCCGTGGATACTTGGCCTTGGCCTCTAAGAGGAGCATAGTAGGGTTGGGCAATATTGACAAAAAAATAAATCACGATTAATTGTGTATTTAGCCGATAACGATTAATTTGACGATTAATCCCCTAGAGTCCCTGGACACCCTTATTTCATAGTCACATGACCAATTTAGTAGGAAAGATTTGCTCTTCATAAAAATCTGTTCCAAATTGTGTCAAAATTACAGACTTCAGGCTATACATCAAATTTTAAATTGTGTTGATAGATAAATAAGTTACAGAACTTTATTTAATGTTTGTCGTATTTGAAGCTGAGAGGAGCAGTGAGCGGATTCTACCTGTTGGCGTTAATCGTATTAATTGTCAAGTGCCAAAAATTAATCGATTAATGTTTTTATGACGATTAATCACACACGATACGATTATGCCCAATCCTAGAGCATAGGCTGTGTTTTTCTGAAAAATGGTCCCCATTATTTAGCAGAAATGCACACACACACACACACACACACACACACACACACACACACACACACACAC